CAACAGAATATTCAAAATACAATAAAACATCAAAAATTAAAAACTTCCCTAAACAGGGCTGCCTTCAGATGTCTTCTAAAAGTCAGATAGTTGTTTATTTCCTTGATATCTGATAGGAGGGTGTTCCACAAGGTGGGTGCCACCTGGCCCAGACAGAGGGGGCACGATATGGGCCACTTGGCCTGGGCCTCCGATTCCAAAGGGGGCCTCGGTCAGCATATTTATCTATATTTTCCATTTTGTCTTTATATGTAGATACGGTTCAAGCCTTGAAATAAAATTATTTGTCAGCATAACTTTTGTGAAAATTATTTATATATTTACTTATTTATAAGACTTCAGTTATCCCCAGGGTAAAAAAAAAGGGGGGCACATTATCTACCTGGCCCGGGCCTCTGCCTAGGCTCTGCAAGGCCCTGGACGCCACTACCGAGAAGGCCCTCTGCCTGGTTCTCTGTAACCTCACTTCTCGCAGTGAGGGAACCACCAGAAGGCCCTCGGAGCTGGACCTCAGTGTCCGGGCAGAACAATGTGGGTGGAGACACTCCTTTAGGTATACTGGGCCAAGGCCAGTGTTTGCTCCCAGCCTTGGAAGTATTAATTTACTGATTTTTTAAAAAAAATAAAAATACTGTTTTTATTTATTTTCATGGTACAGAAGATAAATTTTGAGAAAACAATTGTTACAACAGTAAACAAGTAACTTGTCAAGATAAAATTACTTATACCAAGAATCAAAGTTCAGCCCATCACTGGTTTTCCAACATCTGGCTATCTCCGTGTGCGCAGCAGTCAATAGAATGGGTAAGAGGTCATCTTTAGGATAATCATGAGCAGATGGGATCCTAAACCCAAGTAATGCTAGTGCAGGGGACATTTCAATCATTTTTTGGGTATCAAGCTTATTTCTTTGAAGGCAGCGTTCAGAAGAGTTTGATGATGTCACAACACTACCACATATGGAAATATGTACCTTTGACTGCGCATCCCCTCCCAACAATTGGGATTGACTTCCTTACGTATTCGGGATGCCCAATGTACAATTTAGCACACAGGTTGGTTGTTGCCCAGGAAAGATGGAAATTTAATCATGCTGCCTTTTTGAAGGCTACCAGAAATAAACAGCAGTAAACACAGACTGTTGTGCCTCCTACATATACAGATACTATGACTCTGAGCAGATGTGATGAGTGGGAGGGTGTGTCATTGCATAATGCTCTCTGCATGTCAGAACAGCAAAATACTCTATTTAAAAACACAGCAGGAACTTGGCATCTAATTGAACACTCCCACAGAAAATACTAGTAATGGGAGGTAACAAATTCCAGTGGAAACCTGTATGTAGTCTTACATGGAAAATAAAAGCAATGTATTTTTTCAAAGCAGCTAGTATAACAATAGCAACCATGTATACTTAAAATAGCAATTACTGTTGGGCATTCATGACAATATTGAAGCGTGTGCTTGTGTACATTAATGGCCAGAATCATCACAAGTGCTGGGATGAATGCACTGTGTTGTAAAAGCAACAAGGGGAATTCATATCCAGCCTATACAATAAATCATGGGGAGGAAACGTGAAAGTGATAGGTTAGGAAGTGAGGGATTGGTTCAGCTTCCTGAATATCGCTTCTCCAACATTTGAAAGTACTCCCATTGGAATGAGTCACCTGTTAGGCAGTTTGTTTTGTTAGCAGAGCTAATGTAAAAGTTGAAAGGAGGGAGATGGAGAAATCGAGACATCCAAGTTCTCTCTGATACATTGCCAAAGAGAGTAGGTAAGAGTGCTCCATATTTTGATGAGATCAATCAGTAACTGGAAGGGAGAGCGGCATAGCAGCTTTAAAAATAGATGCAGGAAAGTGGGAGAAAAGCAATAACATTATTGACTGGCACTTTTTAAAGGCAATAATAGCTTCCCCTGTTGTTTAAGCTGCTACAGCTGTTGTGGTGCTACTTAGTTCAATGCAAAAAGTAGCCTTTTTTGTAGCTGAACATCAATATATTGGACATTGCATATATACCTAGTAAGAGTGGTGGACTAGACCAGAGCATTATTGGAAACCTTGCGAGTTCTGGCAGCAGGGGACCCAGTGCTGATCACATGAACAAGCAAGGTATTTAATACAGTGGTACCTCGGGTTACATACGCTTCAGGTTACATACGCTTCAGGTTACAGACTCCGCTAACCCAGAAATATTACCTCAGGTTAAGAACTTTGCTTCAGGATGAGAACAGAAATCTTGCGGCGGCATCACAGTGGCAGCAGGAGTCCCCATTAGCTAAAGTGGTGCTTCAGGTTAAGAACAGTTTCAGGTTAAAAACGGACCTCCAGAACGAATCAAGTACTTAACCTGAGGTACCACTGTACTTCTAAGACAGGGCATGAGATCCAGCGAGGCATCCCAGTAACAGCACTTAATCTAATGAGGAAACTACTGAACAGAACTAAATGCTCCCTAGTGATATTAAATAATTATTAAATCAATGGGATGCAATTATTATTGATTCTGCTTCCCTTCCTACTTAACCTTAGTTCATTAATACTTCAGAGCAGCAGTATATCAAGGCAATAGCAGAAGGAGAGAAATAAGTGACCATGTGCAAGAAATAAGCTTGTATCTTATTTCTGTACTCTGTGCTAGGGATTATTTTATTTTACAAATCTAGCCCTTGCTCTTCAACCAGTTACCAGGGCAGTTAAGATAATATATATAAGAAGAGTGGTCCATGCAGGTAAGCAAACTAATGCTGTGCAAGGTTTTAAAAAACCTACACTCCACAGCTGGTGGTTGTATATTAGAGTAATCTAATATGCCCTATCTTCTCTTTGCAATCACCTCCCTCTGAATTAAGACAGGTGCTAATATTGATGGAGCTTATGTAGCCACACTATAAGAGACTTGAGCAAGTTCATTTGAATTTTTAAATTGTTTTTGGTGGTGGTGGAAGCCATGGTGGCAAAATGGCACTGGGCATGTACAGAGAACAGCTTTAGGGCAGTGCCATCATGGGCAAGCTTGTAAAATTGCTTCATCTCCCCCCCCCCCATTTATGTTTATGTGCGGCATGGTGACTATAAGCGGTATTGAATATATAGAACTGAAGAGAAGGATTATTTCATTTAAAAATGAAATAAATCAATTGCAGGATTTTTGTGTACTTCTAAGCAGCCCTTTATAGTCAAAAGCACACAGATCTTCTTTAGACAGCATGTTTGCATCATTGGTCTTACTTGTGTTACCTGAACAGGCGTCCCAGTTGAACAAAGAGATGAAGCTTTTCATCTCTGCTTATTTGATTATTGGTTTTAAATCAATATGTTCTTATGCAGGTATTAAAACTGTCTATTGCAATGTTGTTCCACCAGATACTTTGCAGTAAACTTTGCAGTTAACTGTGTTAGCAAAAAACCAATACTGCTAAGAGCTGCTAATCTCTACGGACATCACCTGCTCTCGGTAATCAAAGCCTGAAATTCGTTGGTCCGACACCTGCATTTACAGTCTGGTGCGGATGTCAGTTGAGCCGTTCTTTTCTGGTGTCCTTCTCCCTCAGTTGTGCAGCTGGAAGAAACAAAGGGAAGTTTATCACAGAGAATAGAAAGCAGGAAAAGGCTGCAATGAAAGAACAGCTGCCTCAAACACCTCAATAGTCAATTCCTCTCGCTGCTCTAGCAACAACAAAGTGCTCACTGTACGATAATTTTAGCTCTCCATCTTGGGGAAGAATGGCTTGTGGTCAGCTCTGGCATCATGAGACAGCAGCTCATAGGATCAGATGCCAGGTTCCCTGATCATAGGACTGAGTAGCAAGGTCCCAGTGCCAAGGGAAGTTAGGCTAAGAGTACAGAACCTTTTCCAGCCCAGGGGCTGCATTCTCTCCTGGCTAACCATTGGAGGTAGAGACTGCGTGTCACTGGTTGATTGGCCCACTATACCATCTCCTCCTATTCGAGCGCTCTCCCTCTCTCTCTCTCTCTCTCTCTCTCTCTCTCACGCACGCATATATCCATTCAAACCACATCTTTATGTAAACACGCATATATACCTAACACCCAAAATATGCTTCAGAAAAGCAGTTTAGCCTTTTCACTCTACAGAGGTCACCGACAGCAACAGAGCTTTGATATAACCGGGGGGTGGGGCACCCTAATCTCTTAAGACGCTTTATCCTCTGCATAGGGTTGCCATATTTCAAAAAGTGAAAATCCAGACACAAAAGTTGTTGAGCTTTCTTCTTCGTTTTTCTTTTCTTTTCAGGCAGGGTTATTGTTTTTAAAGAAAGCCAAAAAGAATACTGCCAACATGGGTTTCCATATGCCCAGAATTTCTGCGATTTCTGCCCGGACACTGCAGTATTCCGACTATGTCTGGGAAATTCTGGAAGTATAGCAACCCTACCCTTGTGGAGCTCCAAGAGTGCAAAAGGAAAAGCTGGACAGAGTCTTAGTAGGAAAGGAATAGGTAAAGGTACCCCTGACCGTAAGGTCCAGTCGCGGACGACTCATCTCACTTTATTGGCCGAGGGAGCCAGTGTTTGTCCGCAGACAGCTTCCGGGTCATGTGGCCAGCATGACTAAGCAGCTTCTGGCGAACAAGAGCAGCACACAGAAATGCCATTTACCTTCCTGCCGGAGCGGTACCTATTTATTTACTTGCACTTTGTGCTTTTGAACTGCTAGCTTGGCAGGAGCTGGGACCAAACAACAGGACTCACCCCGTGGTGGGGATTCGAACTGCTGACCTCCCAATCGGCAAGTCCTAGGCTCTGTGGTTTAGACCACAGTGCCACTTAGTTCAAATCCTGTTCTCCCTGCAGTGTGAGATTGGTTGGCCCTTCTGGAGTTTCTGTTACTACATCCATATACCCTATCGTTCCTCCAAGGAGCTCAAGGTGGCCCATGTGATTCTTCCCCACCTCATTTCCTCTCACAACAACCCTGTGAGGTAGGTTAGGCTAAGAGATGGTGAGTGACCCATGGTTACCCTGTGAGGATCATTCCAGCATGGGGATTTAAACCCTGGTCTTCCAGGGTCCTAGTCAAACACTCTAACCACTGAGCCGCACAGGGACACCTTGGGCCAAGCTATCAGTGTTGCTGTGTTACCTCTTGTTTTCATGGCAGTGTTTTGCTTTTCCCTTTGCAGCTCAGGATTCATATTATGCCAGCTGCAGTCATGCCACAGCACCCCCTCCCCAGCATAGCAGTAGTATTGGACTTGTCTGCTCATCTGCGCATTAACCCTTTTTAACCCATCTGGCTATAATACAAAACTAAACTGCTTTGCTTCGAGTTTCTCAAAAGAAAACTGTGACCTGATACTTGTTTAGGGGAGGGGCACTTACCAGCGCAAATTCATAAAGGCCCTCAGAGTTTAGATAATAAAAATGAAAATGCATAAAGCCGGAGGAAAGAGAAACAATGTAAACTAACAACACCCTTAAGCACCGAAAGGATCAGCTGCAGAAATTTCAGAGCCGTAAGCAACCTTGGTTGGCGAAATCTTGGAAGACAGCTGAGCTGCTTGCAGACTGACAATGGAAGGGCGCCCGTCTCATAGTGCTCTGTGAAAGCAGAATATGTCAGTTACAAGCATCTAACATGAACAGATCCTGCTCATCCCATTGTGAAAATCCAATATAATTTGGTGCTGGGATTGGGGTTCTGGGGCCAGGTGGGTTTCTGGTTGTTGAAATAGGGGGAATGCAAAGCATACAGGTATATCTGAGTGAGCTGATTTATGTTCTCTTGTACAAATTCCAGAAATATGGACCAGAATGCATTTCTATTAGGATCAGGGTGTCAAAGTGGGATGGAATGACAAGGGTTCTTAGGCTAAACTTTTGTCTATTTGCTAAACTATTGGACTGAAGGAATGGGGTGTGATCTCTGGGTGATTTTAAAAACAGATAGAGAACAGATTGAAAATTCACTCAGTCAGAACATGATGGGAAAGGGGAAAACCTCCGTACCATTATTTGTAATTAGGTTAACAGGATTGTGGATTGGGCCGTCTGTGTATTTTTAGAAGGATTATCTTTGCTGTTAGTAGACCAACAAGTTAGAGTGTGAGAATGAATACATGTCTCCTCAGTCATCCAATAAACCTTCCAGACAAATTGTCATTCCTGGCATTTTTCAGATAAAAGAGCAGTACATACCTTACTAGGTGGGTTGGGGGAGGAGAATTGTTTGGTTTGTGTTTCTATGCTTTAAGAAATGAGCTTCATTGGCTTTGATGTAACATAAAATCTACCTAATCCCCACCTTCCAAAACAATCTGCAAACTGAAACACAGCCATCCTTTGCAATTCACACTTCTCCAAATTTTGCAATGCAGTTCTCCAGCCAAGTAAAGTGTCCAAAATGCAGGCGTTAGGTAAAGTGTGCATAAAAATGCAGATATTCATGAGAATAACATACAAAAATGGTATATTCTATGCACTGTTGCTCTGGCCAAATGAAACATGATGTTTGTCATGTAATTTATCCTGGCACGCAATATTCTAATGAAATAGCTGAGCTGGATTTGCAGCAAGATTTGGGGTTAGCGGGATTGAACCCTTTGTCCCTGCACTGGTCCTGATTGAGCATCAAGGGAGATGTGCTCCCATCCGACTGGATGCTGTGCTGAGTGGTCGGTCGGGCAAGTAGATGGGCCTGCCCTGCCCCCTCCCCGTGCCACTACAGATTGGATCATTTGAAGGACAGGTTAGGTGGGAACCTGTGAGCCCCTGTGGTGGCTGGAGGAGATGGGGAAACAATCTAAAATGGCACTGCGCTTCCAAGGGAGAGAGGTGGTGCCACATCAGGCCGCAACCACCACTCACCGGCAAGACGGTAAGAGGCCCTTCCCATGCCTGTAATTTGCAATGAGAGGAAAGTGTTAGCAAAGTCAATTAATGATGTAGTCCAGATGGGAATGTCTTGATAGCACTTTACTGAGAAAACTGCACAAACATTGTGTATAATTTGAGGAGAAGGGGTTTTGCCTTTCTTAGCTCCGACTTTGTACATAGCAGGGAGACGTTCCGCCAAAAATACACAGAAAAAAAATCCCTCAGAACTACACAGCTAGGCAGACAATGGGCTACCTCACTAGAGATCATGTTCTTTTGCCTGGTTGCTAAGCAACCCCTCCAGCTGACTTTAACAGGATCAAAATTAACCTTAAGTAACAAACTGAATAGCACCTGCCTTTGCACTTCCAGCACAAAGCACAATAAATGCATTTACAAATTATCATTTCTACGTGACAGCCACTATGCGTATACAATTGAGTTCACATGATTTGTGCAATGACCCATTTCCTCTTCTGGAGACATGGGGCACTTTCTGTGAATTAGGTTTGGCGTTTCAAATGTAACACTTGTTCCCTCACATTAATAAACTTCCTTCAGGTGATTCCCTAACGGACTATTGTCCTCAGCACTTCCACTCTGTTCTCAGCACATTGTGCAAGAAATCACGTGGCATTCTGGGCAGGCTGAAAATACTGAGGATATTTTTATGGCAAAAGGGTAATGAGTAATACAAGGTAATGACTAATGCTTTTACTAAAAAGGAGAACTTCCACATGTTTCAGTTTCTGGGGTTTGGGTAATGTATTTCCCTCCACATCTTTACATTAGAACTGGATCCTCTCTCTGATCCAGGCAGAAATCAAGAGGAGATGCTTCTGCCATGCAGCTTCTTCATAAACAAAGTGATGGTCTCCTTGATTTTAAAATAAGAGACATTTCGTCTGTAGCTACCATTTGTTGAAAGACTAAGGGCCTGGGAGAACCCAAGTAACATCCAAGTTACCGATGAACAGGTTTTTTTTTGTTTTTTTCCAAAAAAAATTATTGGTTTTCACAATATTATAAACAAACAAACACACAAGATAAAACAAGCATAAATCATAGCCTTATTGAAAATTACACTTATCAACTTTGTTAAGTGACTTCCTCGCTTCCCCTTGGTTGAATTTCATTGCATATCCTTTTAACGGTTTTCCAAATTCCAATTCTTATGAAATTTAACTTAAACATTAAGATCCTTAAATCTTCACATTATGGAATTAAACATATTAGTTCATCACTTAACATAAATAAAATCCTAAGCCAATTAAGTATCTGCAAGCTGTTTTCAGTTAATTTAACTTAACATATTTAACTAAATAATCATTAAATTTGATCCACTCTTCCTGATACTCCTCCTCCTTCTGGTCGCGGACTCTTCCAGTTAGGTCGGCTAGCTCCAAAAAATCCATCATCTTCATCTGCCATTCTTCTATTGTTGGTAATTCTTGGGTTTTCCACTTTTTAGCTAACAAAATACAAGCAGCAGTTGTGGCATACAAAAATAATTTAACATCTTTCTTGGGCAATTCCAAACCTGTTATTCCAAGAAGAAAGGCCTCTGGTTTCTTTATAAATGTATATTTCAACATTTTTTTCAATTCATTATAAATCTTTTCCCAGAAGTCTTTCACCTTGGGACAGGTCCACCACACATGATAAAAGGTTCCTTCCTTTTCTTTACATTTCCAACATAGATTGTCACAGTTATGATATATCTTTGCTAATTTTACAGGAGTCAAATACCATCTGTACATCATTTTCATTATATTTTCCTTTAACAGAGGACATACCGATGAACAGTTTAAAAGCCAAATGCACTTCATTCAACAGTCTCTTCAATGCTTCAGAAATGACTTGGTGATGCTGGTGCACTTTCGAAGCATGAAAGCCAACCTGTCTCTCCTCCATTCCCCTACATTACGTTAACTGCATCTTGGAACCAAATATGACCTTCTAATCCACCCTGACATATAGACTTCTTCAGTGGAGGTGGCTGTCCTGTACGGGGCAGCCATAGTCAACATGCTCAAACTTGGTACCCTTAAGTGGTCTGAAGAACATGCCCTTCGTGTGCAAAGGAGTTTGCATCTATATCCATTATTATGCTTCTAGTCAAAGATTTTTGGTGTGCAGCTGAAAGAATGAAAGCAGATTAACAGCAGCCTACAGCCCCTCATATGAACATAAGAACATTCTGACCATGCAGATCAGTTTCCTGCTCTAGCCATGTTTCTATGGGAAGGCTGTGAGCAGGACTCGGGTGCAAGAGCACTCCCTATACCTGCAATTGCTACCAACTGATACTCAGAGACACACTGCCTCAAATAATGACGTAGAACATAGCCATCATGCAGAGTAGCCACTGATAGTCGTATCCTCCATTGGTTTGTCTAACCCTCTTTTAAAGCCAGCCAACCTAGTGGTCATTGCTACATATTCCACAGTTTAACTATGTACTGTATGAAGCCAAAGTGGTTTTTTTGGCTGCCTAAATCTTCCAACCTTCAGCTTCAGTGGAGTGTTCCAGTTCTAGTAGTATAAGAGAGAAGGGGGAAAAATATTTCTCCACACCATGCAGAATGTTATACACCTCTGTCATTCCTTATTCTCCATTTTCTAAACTAAAAAGCCCCAAATATTGTAACCTTTCCTTATAAGGGAGATCCTTGAATCCCTTGGTTCGGGCATCTCCCCTTTTGGTTGTCCTTTCTCAACCTTTTCTTGCTCTACAATGTCCTTTTTGAGGGGATGCAACCACAACTGTACACAATATTCCAAGTGTACAAATCCACAGATTTGTGATGGCCTCATATGCCTCCAGACCATTCCTGGAACCAAATGCATACAATATATGCAATTTGGTCACTGTTGGTGTAGAAAGTTTCATGAGCTTTGGAGTTACCATGTCTATTGCAATGGGGTGATATGCCATCTTAACCTATTGGCAACCATATTGAAAAATGAACTCTACTATTAAAAAATGTGAGGTGTAAATGTATGCACCCCCCCCCCACATGAGGAGGAATCCTTCTTTGAGGATACACCTTGACTTCTGCCTTTCTTCTGCTTTTCTCCTCTAAGCAAGAAGGAACCCACCCAAAGGAAATTGATTTTTCTCAGTGGTGACCTGCAGTCTTTGGGCCAAGCTACACATGCCCCTGAACACATAACTAGCAATTGCTGCCGCCCTAAAATAAAATAAAATATAAATAATTGCAGACTCCATT